AAAACAAAAAAAAGTTGTATATGTGGAGTAAAATTGAACAAATGATCATTATTAATTGCAGGTGATGCATTTTTACCTAAAAATCCCAATACAGTCAATAAGAAGTCTATTAGAATTAATAAGTATAATAGAGACTATACATATATCTTCAATTAGATATATCCAGTCTCTGTATAAAATATGTGTGTGTATACATATATGCACATACAAAAATGGACATTTACCTATAAATATACATATACACATACATATGCATGCATATACACTTATCAAAATATATATACTAGTGTCTTTTTAACACATCAATCAGAAAACATAATCTAAAAAGAAAACATATTTCACAGAAACACACACAAATCTATCTGTAAGAGCAAAAACATCATATTGGGATAAACCTAAATGGCAATACTAATAAAATATATGAAGAAAATACCCTACTGATTAAAAAAATCAACTTGTATACACTAAGAAAAAGCACAAATTTCAGCTTTTATGTAGGACAAATAAATATTGGAAGGATATTCATTATTCCCAAATCAATACGTACATTAAACAACAAAATTTTTTCACTTGACCAAATGATTCTAAAACTGATCTAGAAGGGTAAACAAGTGAGGCGCCAGCAAAGCATCCGGCACATGGTAACCACATAAGATCTATTTAATACAAGAGCTAACAAACAGAAAACTCAGTAAGAGGAGAACCATGAAAATGTGGATGGAACCATGGAAGGGGAAGTTCGAGAAAGAGGGAGACATCGACACAATTGAAAGGTCAAGAAAAAGAGAATACATTTGGTAATTAGGATGTCAATGTCAGGTTTCAAAAGAGAGAACAAATAGATGATCTTTTTCTTCCCCACCTAACTGAAACAATTGAGAAATCAGTCAAAAAGAGTGAGGCAAACGGAGGCCAAATCATTGACATTGTTCCTGATAAAACTAGTACTGCAGGGAGTGAGTGCCACAAGGCAGCCCCGTATTAGGCAGTCATCCTCCTAGTCTCCGCACCAGCTGGACCTGGCTGGGAGCAGCTAAGAACACATTCCCTCTGGTCAAACTTGCTCCTAAGAAGACAGAAAAAGGATTTGGGCTTAATATCCAACAACAGTAGAGCAGAAAGTTCACCTGTAATCATTTCATACACAGAAAACTATTTAGCATCAAAAAGGAATGAACTACAGCCCAGCTCACAAAGATAAACTTTAAAGACACAATAGTAGCAAAAGAAGTAACTCATAGAAGAATCCAAGCCATATGCTTCCATTTATATAAAGCTGAAAACAGACAAGGAAGGATACACACCATAGTGTTTAGAGATAAATACACAGAAAGGAAACTTTTAAACCAGGGGATTATCACAAATGTGAGGAGAGAGGTTAACCCTGGGGTAGAGAGGGGCTGCCAAAACCGTCGAATGTAAAGGCCTTTTAAGGCACTGGTTATATTCAACTTATTGAATAATTTGTAAATATGTATTTTATGTTTTCTTTTGTATGCATAATATATTTCAAGTTGGGGGAAAATGGAGAAATTATATGAAAAAAAAAGGAACTAAAAACTCTTCTGTCTATAATATCTGTATCTTGGTTTTCCTAGACAAAGCTTCACAGTTAAACTTGTAGCTGTCTCTTTTAGAAAGATACCAGTTGACTCCTTCCCACTTTTGCCACAAATTTTTTAACTTAAAAAGTAATTATAAAATTGATACAACATTATAAACTGACTATAACTCAGTAAAAATTTTATTAAAAGTAATTATAAATTCACAGGGGGCTGCAAAAGGTTCATGCGTCCATTACCTGGTTTTGCCCAATGGTTATCTCTTACATAATTATAGTACACTATCAAATCAGTAACTTGACATTGTGTATATAGCTCTATGTCATTTTTTCAGAGGTATAGATTTGTGTAACCAACACCATAATAAACATACAGGACAATTCTATCACACAAAGATTTCCCTTTTGCTACACCTTCATACTCACACCCACCTCCAACAGCTGCTGATCTTCCCTAACTCCTGGCAATCATTAACTGGCTTCCCATCTCTAGTTGCATTATTTTGAGAATGTTTTGTAAAAGGAACAATTTACTACAAGATTGGCTTTGTTTACTCAGTGCAATGTCCTTGATCCATTCAGGGTCACTGTGTGTATCAACAGTTCCTTTTTACTGCTGGGTAGTATTCCATGGTATGAATGTACCATAGTTTAATGATTCACTTCCTGAAGGGCATTTTGATTGCTTCTAGTTTTTGGCTTTTCCAAATAAAATTGCTGGGAACACTCATGTACAGGTTTTGGAATGGACATAAGTTTTCAACTGTCTGAGAGAAATGCCCAGGAGTGCAACTGCTGGATCCTATGGTAAATGTATGTTTAATTTTTTAAGAAATTGCTAAAGAATTTTCCAAAGAGGCCACATCATTTACATTTCCATCAGCAATGTAAGGGAGATTTATTTTCTGCACATCTTCACCTGTATTTGGTATTGTCACTATTTTTCAAATTTTAACTGCTCTCATAGGTATGTAGTAAGATCTCACTGTGATCTTAATTTGCATTTCTCTAATGGCTCGTTATATTAATCTCCTATTGCTGCTATAAGAAATGATCACAAACTTAGTGCCTTGAAACAGCACAAATTTATTATCTTGCAACTCAGGAGGTCAGAAGTCTAAAACGGGTGTGCAGGGCTGCATTCCTTTCAGAGGCTCTAGGGGAGAATCTGCTTCCTTGCTCTTTCCTACTTCTAGAGATAATCTTTGGCTCCTGGCCCTTTTCTCCATCTTCAAAGCCAGCATCATAGCATCTTCTCTTATCTCTGATCCTGCTTCCCTCTTACGACAACCCCTGTGATTACATCAGGCCCGGCAGCATAATCCAGGACAATTTCATCTCAAGACTCTTAAAAATTTAATCACATCCTTTGGAATGTAAGATAACATAGTCACAGGTTCTGGGGATTAGAATTATGGATTTTGGGGGGGTGCTGCATTATTATGTCTCCCACAGCTGGTGATGCTGGACATCTTCTCATCTGTTTGTCACTCATACATCCTCTTCAGTGACGTCCTCTGTCATTTTCTAATAGGACTGTTTGGATTTTGCTTTGTTTTACTGTTAAGAGAGTTCTTTATATATTTTAGATGTAAGGTGTTTGTCAGATACATTTCTTTGTGTTTGTAGCTTGTCTTTTCAGGATCTTTCACAGAGCAAAGTTTTTAAATTTAATTTTGATGAAGTCCAATTTAGTGATCGTTTTTCTTTGTGAACCCTGCTTTTGGTGTCAAGGCTAAGAAGTCTTGGCCTTCCCCTAGATCATGAAGATTTTCTCCTATATTAAAAAACGTTCATAGCTTTACATTTTACACTTGAGTCCAGGATCCATTTTGGGTTAAATTTTATATAAGGTGTCAGGTTTAGATCACAGTTCCTTTGCTAATACTTTCTATTACGTTGCTTAGACTCCATAATTTCATCTGTTTCAAGTGTGTTAGGAACTGCTCAGAAACATTTTTACGATGGCTGCTTTAAAGTCCTTGTCTGATAACATCTGTGTCATCTTGGTTTTGGCAGATGCTGATTGTCTTTTCTTGTTCAAGTTGAGATTTACTTAGTCCTTTGAATGATGAGTGGGTTTTTGACTGAAGTTATTGTGCTATTCCTCAGGCCTGAGGTCCCTAGCCCATCTGCCTTTTCTCTCCACCTTTCAGACTCATCTTCTATCTGTTTTATATATAATATCCAGAGGCTTAGAAGTGCCTAGTAGGAGGAATAAGGAAAACTGTCTACTCTATCTTTCCAGAAGTGGAAATCTCCATAAATTACTCTTAATGGCATTTTGGTTACTGACCACAATTTGTCACAATATCTGAATTAAAATTTTCTTTTTATCAGATCTTATTGCCAGTATTTTTATGTATATACTTGATTGCAGGCCAGTAGTTACTGCAGGTGACCACCGCCATGGACTGGGATTTATAATTTTGATGTTTAGCTCCAGAATCACAGGATCTATATCTCGACTGACAAAGTTTTAGATGTTAATTAGATTTTTAAAAATACACAACTTTTAATATCTTCCCTGGATAGTCTTAAGAGTTTTAAAAGCCAAATAACTTGGCAAAAGTTAAGTATTCTTGCACTGTATATGAATCTCACCTATATAATTTTATATCTCTAACTAGTATTGGCATATTTGTTGTACAGATTGTGTACTGCACAATTCCAGGGTATGAAATACTATTCACAATGTTTTCTGTTGTAAACAGGATGAAGGAAACAAAAAATTCTCATAGTACATGGCTTCTACTTCACTGTTATCTTTTATCATCATCATTAATCTGATGCTTCTTACTCAGTTTACTAGAGCAGAGTGACATGTTCAGAGTTAATCCAGCAGTCCTCAGGCGCAAAGTTAACTGGATTCTAAATCTCCTAACTGCTCTCTTCCTTCCATACAGAAACACACTGCTTAAAAAGTACCACTGGGAGCCCAAGACTTTTTAAAGGCTATAGTGAAATAGACAAATGTTAGAGAAGGGAGGGGATTTACAGCTGACAGCAAGGTGATATTTCCATTAGGTGTTCATTCCATTTCAAGTTCTAGAGTTGAGGGACCTTGGTCCAGAGCAAGTACTTCCCAGCCTCATTTCTAGACTCTTTTATCCCCATGGGTTGGACGTTCCTGGAGGAAAGTGATAGCTCTGCACTCCTACCCTGAGCAGAGGAGGCAGGGTGGTCGGAAGAGGAGGCAGAGGAGAAAGGAATGGTGTGAGAGCCTGCAGTGCAAGGGAGGGCTGCATGTTTTCTTCTTCCCACCTGGTCAAGTAGAAGATAAGCATGGATACAGTCCTTTCATTTTCACCTCTATTTTCTAGCAAAAACATAAGAAGTAAAGCTTGGGAAGAGCATTTTTATTTTAAAGCAAGAAGCAAAAGCAGTTGTGAAGAGGACTTTACATTTTTATCCTAAAATATGAAAGTACCTAGAAAAGGGGAAATGTGTGAGTAAATACGGTGTCTTGATTTTTAATTAATGTTAAAGACAACTTAGGAACAGCATGCAAAAGTCAACTACATGAAAGTGTCAACACGTTTGTAAACAACTGACTTTATAATGTAAAATTTCAATTTTTGCAGTGGGGGGTGTTATCTCTAAACATTCTTGAAACATTCTTTTCCCGACAGTTAAAACATCCATTTATATAAAGTATAACAAATGGATTATAAGTTAGTTTTAATTACTCACTGAACCTTGGGAAGACCCCCAAACTTACAAATAGTATCTACTTATTAGGTAATAACTATAAAAATGTAAAGAGAATATTTTCTAAGGCGTCTTCATAAATCATATCTTTCTGGCATTAGTTTGAAGTAATGAAACTTTACGTTATCCCAAACTCAACTTCTGATAATGTATGAGTCAGCCTCTCTGGGTCTAAGGATTGTAACACATATCCTCGCCTACTATAGCTGCTTAATAAAGTCATCGTGGATGCAAAATAAGGTAGGAGTTTGGAAAGTGTTTTGAAAAAAAAAGTGTAAGTTGTTAACATGGTTGGTAGTTTATGCTATTGACTTAAAATATGCTTAAGATTCAGACCAGAAACTTTGGCATGATTATAAAGCACTGCATCATCTGGACACCACTCGCCCACCCTGCCAGCATCAACCCCATGATTCTAAATTGTCTACGCTTCACTGGAAGAGTGGCTGTGCAGCTGTAGCACATGAGGACCACTTACATGCTAACTCTTTTCTCCTCTAGAGAGGAAACTGTACAATACAGAGGATATGAACAGTTCTAAGAACTGGACTCAGAACTATCCTTTACTGAGAATGATTTCAAAACACTTGAAAGAGAAGGTCATCCTCTAATGGCATCGCAACGACAGGGAGTCTGGTGACACTGGCCTTTCTGCTTCCACCCAACTACTTGATGCTATACCTGGAGCTGGAGGGGGAGTTGATGCTCTTTGTAGGTAGAATCCTCTTTAATTGTTGGACAGCAGGGATTCTTTAAGGGCCCTTCAACCTAAAGGCACAGAAAGCAAGGTCAAGGCCATGTGCAACGCAGTGGATGAAATTAAACTGCATTAACTGAAAAGCACACAGCTCCTTTAATATTGGTAATGTCTAGGCTCTACCTTTGAAAGCATAATAGATTTGCTAATTTTCTTGATTAATGCAAAGACCATTCTAAGCTTATCCATTCTGAATTAGTTTGCTACGGCTGCCATAACAAACACCACACAGACTGGGTGGCTTAAACAACAGAAATGAATTTTCTATCAATTCTGGGGACTAAAGTCCAAAATCAAGATGTTGACTGGCTGGTTTCCTCTGAACCTCTCTCCTTGGCTCGTAGATGGTCTTCTCCCTGTGTGTTTGCATGGTCCTTCCTCTGTGTCTCGGTCCTATCTCCTCTTCTTTAAGGACATCAACCATACTAGATTAGGGCCCACCCTAAGGACCTCATTTAACTTAATTACTTCTTTAAAGACCCTATCTCCAAATGTAGTTCACAATCTGAGGTACTAGATATTTGGACTTCGATATATAAATTTTGAGTGAACACAATTCAGTCCATTACACCTTCCCAAGCTACTTCTGATACTTCAGTTCACTGGAATGAACCACTTATAGCAACTTCTCAGACCACTGTGCCTTGTGGATACGATTTCTAGGTCTTGGACTTGGATATGGGCAAAATCTAAAACAAGGTCAGCCTTTAATTCCATATGATAACAGTGTGGTAATTCTGTAGAGGATTATGTAGATTAGCATGAACTTTCTAGAACTTATCCAGTAGTACATTGTGTTTTTGTTACAATGGCTTTATTGAGATATTATAATTCACGTACCAAAAAATTCACTGAAAGTATACAATTTAGTGACTTTTAGGGTATGCACAGAGGTGTGCCACTAATCTAATTCCAGAATATTTTCACCCCTTCCCCTGCAAAAAACCATACCCGTAAGATACTGCTACTCCCCTTGTCCCCTCCCAGCAGCCTTCTGTAACCACTAGCCTACTTTCTGTGTGTGCAGATGTGCCTATTCTAGACATTTCATATAAATGGAATTATACAATATGTGGTCTTTTATGACTATTTTCTTTCACTTAGCAAAATGTTTTCAAGGTTCATGCATTTTGTAGCCTGTATCAGGATGTCATTCCTTTTTATTGCCAAATAGTATTCTAGTGTATGAATGTATGACATTTGTTTGGCTGTATCATGTTTTGTTTATTCATTCATCAGGTGGGGACTTTGCACTGTTCCCACTTTTTGACTATTATGAACAATGCTGCTATGAATATCCATGTACAAGTTTTCATGTGGACATATGTTTTCAATTAGCTTGAGCATAAACTGAAGAGTCTAATTACCAGGTCATAAGCTAACTCTGTGTTTAACATTTTGAGAAACTGCCAAACTGTTTTCCAAAGTGACTGCACTATATTACAACCTACCAGCAACGTATAAGGGTTCCAATTTCTCCACATTCTTGCCAACACTTGTTATAGCCTGTCCTTTTTTATTTTAGACATTCTAGTGTGGCTGAGAGCATACATCATATGATTTCTATCCTTCTAAATTTGTTAAGCTGAGTTTTATGCCCAGAATGTGGTCTGTCTTGGTGAATTTTCTATGTGACATAGAATAACAATTTGAGACAGAACAATCATTAAGTAATGCCTCTCTTTTCATCCCTGATAATTTTCCTTACTTTGAAATCTGCTCTGTCTGAAATTCATACAGTTATTCTAGCTTTCATCTGATTAGGGTTAGCATGGTATATCCCTCTCCATCCCTTTACTTTTAATCTATGTGTTTTTATATTTAAAGTAGATGTCCTGTAGACACCATATAATTGTGTCTTGTTTATTGATCCATTCTGACAATCTCTTTGAATTGGTACTTAGGACATGGACACTTAAAATGATTACTGATATAGCTGGTTAATACCTACCATATTTGTTACTATTTCTATTTTATGCCCTTATTCTTTTTCTTTTCGTTTTCTACTCTTTTTCTACCTTTGTGGTTTCAGTGGAGCATTTTCTACGATTCCATTTTTCTCTCCTTTCTTAGCATATCAATTACATTTCTCTTCTTAAATTTTTTTAGTGGTTGTCCTAGAGTTGCACTATACATTTACAACTAACCCAGATTCACTTTCAAATAACACAATACTATTTCATGGGTAGTTCAAGAAACCTATAAAAAAGCATTCCTAATTCTTCCCTCCTTCTTTGTATCATTGCTATCATTCATTTCACCATTGAATATATTTTTACTATTGCTTTGGATAAGCTGTTATGTATTAGATAAATTAAGAAAAGAAAAGCAAAGATTTTAATTTTACCTTAACTTATTTCATCTTGAATTCTATTTATATCTTTATAAGGATGTGAGTTACTGATATGTCATTCTTCTCTTTTCTGAAGAACTTCTTTTAATATTTCTTACAATGCAGGTCTATTGGCAACCCATTGCTTCAATTTTTGTTTTTATTTTTTTCTCATGTTTGAAGGATAACTGCACAGGACACTGAATTCTAGGTTGGTAGATTTTTTTGTCTCAGCACTTTAAATATTTCACTCTACTCTCTTCTTACTTGTGTGGTTTCTGAGAAGTCAATGTAATTCTCATTTTGTAACTCTGTAGGGAAAGTGTCTTTTTTCCTCTGACTTCTTTCAAGATTTTTTTCTTTATCTTTGATTTTATATTATTTGAATATGGTATGTGCAGGTATAGTTTCTTTGTTTGTGTTTTTGTTTTTCATTTATCTTGCTTTATGTTCTCTGAGCTTCCTGGATTTGTGATTTGGTGTCTGACATTAATTTGGGCAATTCTGTCATCATTGCTTCAAATATTTCTTCTCTTCTTTCCTCTCTTTTTTTCTTTTCGTTTTCTTTCTTCATTTTTTTTTTTTGTGCTCCCACTACAAGCTTGTTACACATTTTGTATATAGCCCACAGTTCTTGGGTATTCTGTTCTACTTTTTTCAGTCTTTTTTTTCTTTGATTTTCAGTTTTTTGAGTCTTTGTTGACATATCTTCAAGTTTAGAGAGTCTTTTCTCAGCTGCGTCCATTGAACTAGCATTTCTTCTTTATTTTTTTCTTAGAATTTCCATCTCTCTGCTTGCATCACTCATTTGTTATTGCATGTTGTCCATTTTTTCCATTAGAGCCCTTAGCATATTAATCATAGTTGTTTTAAATTCACAGTCTGATAATTCCAACATTACTGCCACATCTAAGTCTGGTTCTGATACTTGCTCTGTCTCTTCAAACTGTATTTTTTGCCTTTAGTATGCCTTATAATTTTTTTTTCTATTGAAAGCCTGACATGATGCACTGAGTATAAAAGATTGAATAAGTAGGTCTTTAATAATGTAGTGGTAAGGTATGCGGGATGGGAAGCAGTCTACAGTCCCATGATTAAGTCTTAATTATTTAGTGAGCTTGTGCTCCTCAGCTGTGAACTTTACAAATTATTCTTGCTTTTTTTTTTTTTTTGCCCCCTTTAGGTGCGACAGAATAGCTAGAGGGGCCTAGAGTTGCCTATTTCCCTGGTGGAAGGGAAATCTGTAATTGATTACACTGTGGTCAAATAGCTTCTCTTGAGGTTAGGCCTTGTTTAGAAAAACAGAATGCTCTGACATATTTTAAAATGTTTACTCTCTCCCTCTCTCTTACAGACTTTCACTGTGAGAACTTGGTAGAGCTCCTGGAGGTAAAGCTCACAAAAGTCTGCCCCTCTGCCTGTCAACACTGGATCCCCTCAGAGTTTTTAACTCCCAGATTTAGCCACATTGAGCCTCCAGCAATTCATCAATTGCAGTTCACAGTTTCCTATCCCAGTAATGGTTCTCATAAGGGTTTCTACTCATGGAGTTTTCTGAACATGGGTTTCAGTACATTATGATTATCTGTATCCACCTGTCTGTTTTTACAGTTCTGGCAGCAATGTTTTCCATTGTGATCTCAATTCTCTGATGGATCTAAGAAGAATTGTTGATTTTCAGTTTGCTCAGCTTTTTACTAGTTGTTAGAATGGAGAGACAACTTCCAAGCCCCTTAGATACCAAAC